GCCCGGGGGGTGGCCGTTTGGGGGGGGGCCGTGGGAAGAGGCCCCCCGTCCCCGCGCGCCTCTGACTGTCCCTCTTCTTTTGCAGAGCCTGGCTATGTCCCCCTTCGGAAGCCTCTTTCCGTACCCGTACACTTACATGGCGGCCGCCGCCGCAGCCTCGACGACCGCCCCCAGCCCCATGCACCGGCACCCCTTCCTCAGCACCGTGCGCCCTCGCCTGCGCTACAGCCCGTATTCCCTCTCCGTGCCCCTCCCGGACAGCAGCGGCAGCCTGCTCGCCACCGCCCTGCCCTCGATGCTCGGCGGGGTGGAGGGCAAAGCCGCGGCCCTGGCCCCCAGCCCGGGCTCGGGGCCCTTGGACTCCTCCGGCTCCGAAGTGAACAGCCGCTCTTCCACCCTGTCCTCCGCGTCGGACAAGGAGGCCACCAGCGAGCTGCAAAACATCCAGCGCTTAGTGAGTGGACTGGAGTCGAAGCAAGACAGAGCCAGGAGCGGGTCGCCCTAGAAGCGGGGGGAGCGCCCTCTCCCTCCCCCTACGTGACGGGATGGGCGCCTCCAGCCCCCCCCCCCCCCCCCCGACGTGACGGGTTGGGCCCCCCCAGCCCCCCCCCCCCGCACGCCTCGTGGGCCGATCCTGCCTCTCTCCAACTTTGGCGCGTGCGTGTGTTGCTCGCTCGGAGTGGTGGGGAGAAGGAAGGAGGGCCAGCGGGTGTGCGTGCAAGGCGTGTGTTGCTGGTAGCTGCTATTAACCACTGTGGTGTCCACTGGAGGCAGGTGTGAAATCTGGGGGAAGGGGCCCTCCCCCTTCCTTTTTCTTTTCTTTTCTGTCCTTTTTTGTTCCTGTCTCCACTGGCATCAAAACAGAGAAGCAGGTGCAGAATGGAGAATTTGCTTTTCGCAGATCGGCGCGTTCGAAAATCAAGCCAAAAAATCAAAAAAGAGGGAGAAAGGCTGACCCTTTCATTTTTTTCGGGGGGGGGGGTTTAAATCCATTGCCCATAGTCTGTTTCTTGCATCTTCCATTCTAAATGTTATTTTCTGTAGGTCCCCACTCTTTAAATGCTTGCTTGAGGTCTCCAGAACGTCAAATACATATTTCTCCCGTTTTTTTTTTTCTTTCTTCCCAGATAGGAGCAATTAAAAATGTAGTTAGAAGGGGGAATATTATAATTTTGTTGGTTTGTTTTAAAAAGACCCCCGATTTCCTTGTTTTGTTTTTAATCCATTTTTTTTCTTTTACTGTATATGCAATAACATGGTTTATAAACGTAATAAGGAGAAGGAAAAAAAACAGTGGACACTATTGATAAAGTATTTATGTAATTAATGGATAACTTGTAAATACGTGGCATATGAATACTCGAAATTAAAATTTAATTTATTGATATTGTATATATATCTGTAAATATAGACTGCAGGTGTCTTTCTGGTTTTTTAGCTCATTTTCATTTCAAAGTCAGGATCTCTTGTGAACAGTTCAAACTTCAAAAATAAGCAAAAATCCATCAGGGGAAAATCATGTTTACATTTCCAATGTTTTGTTTGTTTTACTGTGCCATTATGAAAAAAAATCATATTGTTCATTTTTGGGGGGAGGGGGAAGCATGCAAAAGGCAAAACAATAGGGTTGGAAGAAAGACTGTACAATCGTGTCATTGCTGGATGCTCCCTTATTCTACCACTGGTAGAAATGATTAAATAAATATGTTAATTAAATACCAACACACTTCTGAAGTGGGTTTGTGAAGAGGGGGAAAAATCTGGGAGTTTTGTTCATTTAAAAAGAAACTCAATCATTTCTATTTTTCCCCATTGCCAATCTACATCATCATCATCTTCATCGTTATTATTATTATTAGTATTATTATTATTATTATTATTATTATTATTACGGTATTGGAATATTGAGTGATATTTTTACAGTTTCAAAATCTAGTGTTGAGCATTGTTGAAACAAAAACAGAAATAAATAGACTTGTTGAAATGGTTCAAAGGTTCACCCCCCCTTCTTGTAATTCCCTTTCCCCCAGTTCCCAAGAAAGCTTCTTTCAAGATCATTACCATTTGAACCTACATATT